TATTTATATTATTTTGTTCCTTCGTCTGTTAATTAATACTGATGTTTTTGAGTAATAGTTAGAAACTAAAACTTTTTTATATAATGTAACTAAATACGTAATCTTCATTTTTTTCGAAAGTATAGTCATTTTTATCTTTCGTTTGTATAATAATATGTCATTGAACAGAATAACTTAAATTGCAGAATAAATACAGTAAAAGAACAAAATACAACAATTATACGATAAAAGAACGAACAAGTTGTTTTAAATTAATTAAAATAATAATAAATAAGATAATACGTTATTTACATACTATGCTGAAAGTTCCCACGTAATTTTCTGTAGAATATTACGACTCTTGCTTTATATACATGTCGCTTCTATCTAATAATTTATTGAGCTCCTCATCTGTAAGTACTATATTGAAAATTGATTAGAAAATTATAATACTATCATAGTCGTAAAATTCATATATACTTTTAAAAAATTAAAAATTGCAATATAAAAATAATTTATGATTATAATTAATTAAATAACGTTATTATAATAAAATAAAGATAGAAATAAAAAAGTAATCTAATTTTTGCACTCATACATACTCATCTAATAATAGAATTATATATTTTAATAATTTACCTTCATTTTCAGAAGCAATCACTTGACATTCTTTTGATTCTAGGAGTCTCTGTAGGGCCAGTAAATCTGATTTATTATTTATGCTTAGCTTTTTCATATTCGTGGAGATCACTACTTTTTCCAAGACACGTTTAGCTTCCGCGCGATTGTAAATTATTTCATCGATCGTTCCTTTAGCACATAATTTGTATATCACCACTGGCCGTGTCTGACCAATTCTGTGACAACGTGCCATAGCTTGTATATCCGCTTGAGGATTCTACAAATATACTTAATTACATTTTGTTATGCACAAGAATGTAAACAATGAATAACATTGACGAATTACCCAATCGGGATCGTATATAATAACTGTATCCGCGCCCATGAGGTTTAATCCAACACCACCCGCTCTCGTAGATAGGAGGAATAAAAATGTCTCGGGATCTGTATTAAATTGTTTGACATGTTCTTTTCGAGCTTCCAGTTTAGTTTGACCGTCGAGCCTGACATATTTATAATCGCGCAGGGAAAGATAATCCTCTATCATATCCAATATCTGTGTCCAGGTAGAATATAATAAAACTTTATGTCCTCGTTGTTTAAGTTTTGCAAGCAGAGTATCTAACACCAAAAGCTTGCCCGATGCTTTAACTAATTGTTCATCTATTTTTGGTAAACCATCATGACCCAACGGACAATGTATCATATACGGATGATTTAAAATCTTCTTATATAAAGTCCCTGTGATACAAAACATGAAAATGAAAGTAATATAATACAGCAAACAACTTGTATATCTTATTAAACAACGACTTACAACTGCCAACTTGAATATTAATGAGAAAGTCTCGATTACGCTCTGTGACATCAGTATATTGTTTCCATTGTAGTAAATTCTGCTCCTCTTCTCTCATTTTCGTAGATTTCGTATATTTCCCTTTATTACTGTTCATACTTTTATTAGTTTCAGCAAGTAAAGAATTAGCAACTGCCGATTTCATTATACTGTCGACACTTTTATTTAACACACATTTACGTTTTGGTCTTTGACCATCTGAAGTAAGCATTTGAAGTTTTTCACTTTCTATCTTAGTTAACTTATCTATATCACGAGTCACTACTGCCTTATACAATCCATGTTGCAGTTCCGTGAGGGGAGCATAAATGACTATTTCTTTCTTTGGTGGCACATCCGCGCAAACCTCGCTTTTTTCGCGTCGCAACATAAATGGTTTCAATATTTCACGCAGCGTTGATAATACTTGTTTCTCTGCTTCCAATTTCAAAAATTTCTTGGTTCCCTCATTCCGTTCAAAATGTTTTGCATCGAACCATGACTCAAAGACGGCAAGATCATCAAATATTTCTGGTAGCAGAAAATTTAACAACGACCACAACTCAGCCAAGTTATTTTGCAGCGGCGTACCCGTCATTAAAAGTCTGTTCATAGACTTGAAAGATTTTAGAACTCTGTAAAATATCGATTTTATACTTATTCTAACTTACTTTCATATGAGAACATTATAATGACAATTATAGTGAAACATGTATGGGTAGGAATGTAAGACAGATATACGTATATGTATATGGGTGGAAAAAGGAATTTAGCACATCAAAAGTTGCAAAACAGCATACATACTTAACGAGTTTACACTGATGATTTTTAATCTTCTGTCCTTCGTCTACAATTATATATCTCCAATTGAAAGATCTCAGAAAATGTTGTTCTACTAATGGTACTTCAAAAGTAGTAAGTACAATTGGAAAAGTACTAAAAGATAATGTAATTGGATATTTTTTCTTAATTTCTCTCCTCGCTGCTAGTCTTTCGGATATTGGTCCATGAAACAACACGACGGGTAATTTTGGGGCAAATCGTTCAAATTCTATTAACCAATTTGGTACGGTAGAGAGAGGAACAACTAGTAAATATGGACCATCTTGTTGTTTTTCAATGAGATGGCATAACAGAGCAATAGCTTGAATTGTTTTACCCAATCCCATTTCATCTCCTAAAATTCCATTTATACCGTTCTCGTAAAGAACTCTTAGCCATTGAAATCCCCGCTTTTGATAATCTCTTAACTCTCCATTAAAATATCTTGGTGTTTCAATATTATCAATTGGTTTTGCTTTGATCTCAGAATCTTTTAGCATTTCTTCTTCATTTAAATCTAGTTTGCTTGTTTCATTATGTATCTTCTCTTGTACCTAAAAATAGTGTATACAGCAAATTATAACACAAGTCACAGATGAAAGAGGCATACGTACTGTTACTATATTATTATACTTATTTACATTTTTGGATATATGATTTTTCACTTTATTAACTTGCTTGTTTCCTTTTAATCTGGACGGCATATTTCCATCATTGTAATTTTCTTTGTTATCTTCCTCTGAAGTTTTAGCGTTTGTTTCTTTCGCCAAACCATTATTAATTTTATCAACAATGTACGAAGAATAAAATTTACTTCTATTTAACAAATGCATTAGTCGTTTGTACTGTTGTTCTTGTAAATCCTGAATATATTTCTCTTCAGCAATCTGCTTGCTTTCCTTTGTCTCTTCGCGTTTTCTTTTCTTTTCATTGTTTGTGTTTTTCAAATTACTTTCTAATGTATAATTACTGAAAATAGAATAATTGTGAAATGATAGTCTACAGATATTTTTAAATACATACAATTAACTGATTTAAAAGTAAAAGTCAAGCAAATGAACATAGATTGAGTCTATTTCTATTTTATCATGACAAGAATTATATTCAATACTGTGCCAATCTTTATTTGATAAAGGAACAAAGAGTTCTTGATTAAATAGTTCTTAATAAAGTATAATTGGCACATTCTAAATTTTTGACACTCCAAATATAAAAATCGTCTCACAATAACAATGAAATAGTGATAGAAAAAAGTATGTAATAACTTCATATTCAAGCAAGATATTAATTTCGAAGATATTAGTACACGTAATACACCATATTTGAATTAAGATTACCTATTATCCATATCGTTCGTATCCACTTCCATCTTAAGTGCTTGAATTATTATGAGTTACGTTTTTATCTGAATATTCAACCGTTAATTTTAACAATTTCGAAGCGAGGCATACAACTTAGCTACTATGGCTCCATTAACCTATATTAACCAAGAAGCAAGGATTTTACACGTTGAGTCCGTTAAGTTCAAATCCCGCCAAATCTGCACCTGGCATCTGGCACCGAGAGTTAGAGAATTACCAACATAAACCATTTCTATTTTGACATGTTTCTTATTATTATTTCTATGTGAGCTCTCTGCTACAATTTATTAATTAAATAACATCAAACTATAATACAATAAATAATTTAAATCTTTATTACAGCCAGATAGCATACATTAAATTATAAAAAAAATATTGTTTTTTCATCCCTTGTAAAATCGTGTACAATTAGAACAACATAAATTTGATGGAATATATAATACATATACCTTTGTCATATGAACAAATAATTCAAAGAATAAATTTCTCGCTCTTTAAACTGAATTTTTGGCTACATAAATATTTAAAAACAGTAATTTAGCACATGAACCGCCCCAGCCACAATCGCCCACGCCTCCTGTCAAGCCAGAAAGTTGTTTACGTTTCTTAGTTTTCATCAGTTTTCATAATTGCGTGCAACCACAAGCAACATGCGTATAGAAACGTGTTATTTTTGCTCGTCTCGGATTTATCCGGGACACGGAATCCAATTTGTAAGGAATGATTGCAAGGTGAAGAATTTCATATACAAATTTTCATTGCATCAGTAAAATTCATATTCTGTACTTTCACAAACCAATAGTAATATATAAAGGAACAAAGAGTTCTTGATTAAATAGTTCTTAATAAAGTATAATTGGCACATTCTAAATTTTTGACACTCCAAATATAAAAATCGTCTCACAATAACAATGAAATAGTGATAGAAAAAAGTATGTAATAACTTCATATTCAAGCAAGATATTAATTTCGAAGATATTAGTACACGTAATACACCATATTTGAATTAAGATTACCTATTATCCATATCGTTCGTATCCACTTCCATCTTAAGTGCTTGAATTATTATGAGTTACGTTTTTATCTGAATATTCAACCGTTAATTTTAACAATTTCGAAGCGAGGCATACAACTTAGCTACTATGGCTCCATTAACCTATATTAACCAAGAAGCAAGGATTTTACACGTTGAGTCCGTTAAGTTCAAATCCCGCCAAATCTGCACCTGGCATCTGGCACCGAGAGTTAGAGAATTACCAACATAAACCATTTCTATTTTGACATGTTTCTTATTATTATTTCTATGTGAGCTCTCTGCTACAATTTATTAATTAAATAACATCAAACTATAATACAATAAATAATTTAAATCTTTATTACAGCCAGATAGCATACATTAAATTATAAAAAAAATATTGTTTTTTCATCCCTTGTAAAATCGTGTACAATTAGAACAACATAAATTTGATGGAATATATAATACATATACCTTTGTCATATGAACAAATAATTCAAAGAATAAATTTCTCGCTCTTTAAACTGAATTTTTGGCTACATAAATATTTAAAAACAGTAATTTAGCACATGAACCGCCCCAGCCACAATCGCCCACGCCTCCTGTCAAGCCAGAAAGTTGTTTACGTTTCTTAGTTTTCATCAGTTTTCATAATTGCGTGCAACCACAAGCAACATGCGTATAGAAACGTGTTATTTTTGCTCGTCTCGGATTTATCCGGGACACGGAATCCAATTTGTAAGGAATGATTGCAAGGTGAAGAATTTCATATACAAATTTTCATTGCATCAGTAAAATTCATATTCTGTACTTTCACAAACCAATAGTAATATCTATCCGCCTGAATAAGTTTTAGGTTATATATACTATCCTGGGTATTTAGACCGCTGGAAAGCTGAAATTAATGAGTACTTTATATGGCAATTATAACCTTGATATAATCACATTATATACAACGTTTTAAAGATATTTGGATATAACTAATGCCAGTGGTCTAAAGGTTAAGGAACTGATTTGTAATCTCGTTTAGCCTAGGAATATGCGAATATCAATTTGAAAGATGTTTGTACGTGTATTCTTTCCTTGTGATATTGAAAGCAAAAGGAATGCTGTGTGAACATCCATCAATCGTGTGACCCTGAGCTTGAACTCTCATAAATTTACAATTGACATGCACACTAAATTATAATTATATCCTCAGTCTCAATGTATATTACCCTACATTTTACATATTACAGATATTTAAATTTTGTCGATCAAAATGCCATGCTGCATTTAAGAAAAAGAAGAATCCAAGGAAAGTGAAATGGACCAAAGCATACAGGAAAACAGTCGGCAAAGAATTGACGGTCGATCCAGCATTTGAATTTGAGAAGAGAAGGAACCTACCTGTTAAATATAATAGAGAATTTTGGAATAATGCAATTGAGGCTATGAAGAAAGTAGAAACTATTAGGCAGAAGAGGCAGAATTTACATATAATGCAACGTTTACGTAAAGGACGCGAAATAGAACAAGAAAGGGATATTAAAGAAGTCCAGCGTGATTTGTCGCTTATAAGGTCACCTGCCGCAGGACTTAAACAAAGGAAGGAACTAGAAGAATCTGTCGAACAAGAAGATAAGTTGCAAGAGTCCAATGATGAACAAGAGGAAATGGAAGTGAATTAATTCAAATCATTGCTTAAGTTTGTATTTATAATAAACAATAACTCAAATCAAATGATACATTCATTTTCATGTTAATAAGCATGTATTGAAAATGTAAATAGAACTTATGTTAGACTTTGTGTTAATAAAACCTCATTTATATTTTATTCATGCTTATTTAGCATTGTAGACTGACATATGTATAGTAGAAAAGAACACTTTATTCCTGAATAAAATTTTCTATAGATTCTGAAAGTAAGTAATTAACAAATAACGTTTGAAATTTGCTTTGAAGTTCATATAATAATAATTTAGATATTTCCTTTTATTCTGTTAGAATCTTGTATAAAAAAATTGTATAACAGTCGTGTTATATAAAAGGATTTAAATTTATACTCTGTTTATTCCGCGCCTTCTTGAACAAAATGTAATAAATATGAAATAGGACTATATTTTCGTAAGATTCCACTTTTTTATGACGTTTCCGTTCATAATTTCTCTTTCAATACCTAACTGTAAAATTTATAATTATTACCGAGAAGAGATCACCGTCAACGTTATCGATTCAGCATGGCACAGTACTGTCTACGAGTGAACAACGATGACTCTAGTAGTTAGACGCTGCGCCGGAGATTTCAGATTCCATGAGTAACCATGAGCCTCTTCGAAAAGTTTAAATTTTAAAAGATTATTTCACTCACGATATTTTCGTGGTTCGGATTCCACCCTAAATACAAGTTCAGCTGATTGTAGGTCGAGAAAATTGAGAAATAACACCTTAAATAATAAAATATAATACGTATGTATCAAATAACACTTTAAATTTCAATAATCGATCATCAAAGGTCGCAAAATTGCGCTAGAAATAAAAAGTATAATTTTAATTCTGTAATTATGACATTGGCATTGAAATAGTTAAAGTTATATCGCTTACGAATAAAGTTTAACTATTTGCGCACCGCACATATTTTAATTCAATATCTTTTAAAAGTTCTTCTTTCACATAATCACTTAGATCAAAATCTGTAGTTTTTTTTTATTAAATGTGGAAGCAAGTAATATTAACTCGGGACAAGTGCCCCGTTTGTTCGGTGCTAAGGGCGGTACTACGTAAACCACGATGCTTGCCTAATGCTTAACAAGTAAATCAGAATAGTTTGCTCACGCATAACCCTTCGGCTTCGGAAGAAAACGAGCTTTTTGAGTGGTCGTACGCGGCAAGGTGTGACTACCGACACCTCGATAACACTGTAAACACTCGGTTGGTGTTTCCAGCAATTACCAGGTAAACCGCGGGGTGTTGTTTGCCACGAGCAAAATGTGTGTTGCAACAACAGGAGAGCGGCGTGCATACAAGTTCGGGAAAAGGGGAAAAAGGACCTACTCGAGTTACGCGGCGAGAAACGATTTTCAAGGGCATGAGCTTGCAGATTTTTTCCGCCCGAAGAACCTACCGTGGCCAATCTTTCCGTCGACCGATCCTTTGATTCGAGCCGACGGTATTTGTTCTAACTTCGGCTAACGTGAACTAGAAGATTCCCGACTAATCAACGTCAATCCCGACTAAATAAAAATTCCCGACAAATTAATGTCAATTTCGACTAAATAAAAATCGGCTCACGAAAGATCGTAGTCTGTATTATTTTTCACTTGAGGAACTAAGACTACGAACAAGGAGAAAGGACGTCGATAAAATTTCCAAGAAGATATTAAAATATTAAGAAAGGAATTGAAAAAAAGATCAGTAATTTTCTGCGTGTTGGTTCATAAAATTCCATGACTTTATGTGCCTCCCTTTTTATGACACGCGCGTTTCACTCGTCCTACGAGATGATTAATCATTTTTTCGTGCGCCGGAGATGGTCGACCCGATCTTGCGTCACTTCGCTACACAACGTACAAACAAATTCCATTCTCTGTCACTTTGATCCCGAGATAAATTACAATGACAATATCCAAAGCGATCGCGAACCATTTCATTTGGTATACGATGTAAGTATAATACAACCCACTTAGAAGTTCGCCATACGGGAACGAATGAAATTGAAAAGGAACAAGTAGGCAACGGGAGGGACACGAGATGGTTTGAAGAATTCCTGAAGGGTCCTCCGGAAAGGCAGATTCGTCGGTGGTGTTGTGCGCGAAAAATTATTTTCGACCACACGCACTATTGTGGCCGTGTTTACTGAGGAAACAGACGACACGGTGGTCGAAATACTAACCGCACGTATGATGAATCGCAATTACGATTTTTGCGCGGTAAAACCCCCCATCGTTTATCTCGACAAAGCCTTTTTGGTAGAGTGTACTTTGACTTTGATAATACGCACTCCACTGCCTTTGTACAAACGCAAATAATGTTTCTATACGATTGATCAATCAGTTTGAATCTTAATCATTGTGGCGCGATCAGTATGAAACTGCGTTTGTTATTTGATTCTTCGATGGTAAGAAGGAGACCATATATTTTTACTGCACCTGAATTGTCGGCTATAATTTTTCACATAAAGTGCATAAAGTATCTCGTAAAATACGAGGAGATATGATTTTGTCACATCTTGAAATGATCGTTGATTTAATAAGTAAAATAGATAATACATAGATGATAAAAATTGACAAGGCAATTAATTTTACGCCATCGCAGCCATATTTAGCATACAAATAGCTACTAAACTAAAACCATTCAGAAATGGTAGGGTGAAGTACCTACCCAAGGGTGACAGAACCGGTATCATGACGCGCACACCTTTGCATCGTTTTTCTAATCGTTTCCCGTGCCACGCAAGAAGGCCCTTGTAATAACATCTTCCATCGATGTCACCAAAGGCAGTGCGTTTCATAAATAAACAAGGAGGCTGTATGGTCAGACTTAAAATAGTTTGTTCGAGGCAGTACCTAGTCAGGCATTTGGTCGGACAATATTATTTTATGGTGACCAATGGCAGTCGCCGGTCCCCGAAATACGCGTCAACAAAGAACCACGTCTCTCTGATCTCACCGATGCGTTCGGTACGTGAATCGCGTCGCTCCGTGTAGAAATTAATGGAAAGTGGGAGAAATACGTGCTAATGGGACGCGTTCCAATTAGGCTGTTGATCGTGGACAATATTTTTGTTCGCATACCGTTGAGCGCATTTTTCAACGCGCCTATTAATCTTCCTCGTTTACGTTTCTAACCAGCGAAATACCACGGTTTGTCGCCTTGATCCTCTCGTAAAAACGGGTTTCATATTAAAGATTTAAATATTAATTAGTAAAAATGAAAAATTGTGTCTTATTTTTGTAACGCCTCGCTCGGAGACATCTTACTGTGTTCGCATTCTTCTTCAGAGCTAGATAGATATGATTAATTCTCTCTGATATAATCCGTACGCTTTCTAAGAAGCGGCGTGTTCGACTTGCCACAGCTAAGTCAGATAGAGAAATGTAACGGTCCATGACTTGTACAAATTCTTCCTAAAAGGGTAAATTAGTCAATCCGAGCGTTTAATTAAATTCTGATGTCGCCCGTTATCACAATGGTTCTCGATGGATACTCAACAGAGCCCACGCAGACTTTCACTACTATCGCTGTTGACTCATAAGCTTGTTTGAAAAATTTCGTTAGTCCTCTTCACAGATTGTATATCGCACGTTTAGAAAAATCTGTACATGTGCATATATCTATGAAAATAAGTGAGTGAGTATCTCCTAGCCCCTCCAATAGATTTATGGTACTATTTTGGGTTTTACGATAGTTAATATTCATTGAGTATATCATAAAATAAAATTTTATTCTATGGTCATAATAATAATGATACGAATGGAAATTATACTTCCACAGCAAGTGGCACTATATTTTCTGCCACTATAATATTCACTCTTCTCGATGTAGACAAAGACGTATAGTACGATAAAATGACAAGTATACTCTTTTAACCCTACCTTTTTTCCCCTACATCGTATGAGCTATGTAAAGTTTGAGGTATGTATTCTTTTCCGCAACGTCATCAGACACGCAGGTTTTCGCGATGCGATTTGCATTCGCATACCAGTAACGACGGGACAATTGCATTATTAAACGAAGGAACAGCTTCGTCATTTGCATCATGATTTAAGGGCGAGGTAAAATCGGTCGTAATCGGTGACCGACGTAATCTCGACTTTGTTCATATAGTGTCGAACTATCGCGTAACCACAGATAAGGTACACATCATAAATTTGCGGAAACGCGTGTATACGTGTCTTTTAACGAGCGGTCCTGCCGCAGCTTTTCCCACCTGTTTCGACATTTTATGATACGGTAATTAAACTATCGAAAATCACGCTGACGCCTATTCCAGAAGCTAGCGACGTAAGATACTGTAAGGAATATCGTTTCTCCTATAATACTTTTTCATTATTAATGAATCCGTGTTCATAAAATAATTTATTCCACTCCAGATTTTTACGGGCTGCTTGCGGTTCTCTCGAACACCGATTGTCGTGACAATTAAAAGTCTCGAGCATCGAAAGTCGAAACCGGCGACAGAACGACAGGAATGTCAAACATTCACTTGTCTTCGTCGAGACTTCATCCTTCGGAAATCTGTTGCACGGTGGGGACTCGGGGTCATTATGTATGCGCGTTTCGGAAATGGTGTGCCTCTCGGTTCGTTTCGTTTCGTTATCGGACGAACACGTTTCCATCTCGTTCCCGCGATTCCGCCCGATCAAGATCGGTCTCTCGTCCACGATGCACCGGTCTCGTTGACGACGTCCAGTTCGTTGACTTTAAATTAAACGAAATAAATGAGCTACTTGAATAAAGATAACCAGCTATCAGATACCCGTTAAGCTGCCGATTCTGCCGCGCGATAGGAAACGAGGGAACGGATTGATTTCAACGCGACGAAAATGGGTTTTCTAGTGTTACGACGTATTATGGTTTTATGAGACTTCACTATTAGTAATATTCTTGTGAAATATGATAAAGTATATATGATGTTCAAATCAATTGTTAAGTTTGACAATAATTATTGTCTCCCAATAATCACGTTGCCTTGCGTAACAAAGGAAGAAAAAGTAGAGTGAAACCTAAATTTTATCTTCAGCTATTTATTAGTTTTAGACATATTAATTAGAACAGAAAACATACAAGATTTTCAAGTCGATCAGCAAGAATGGTCTTTCATTTCGCACTCTTCTT